AGTTACCATAGAAGACAACCCAAGCCATATTGATTTGTCTTATCAATTATTCCCCAAGGTAAGGAGATTAATTAGCCTCTGATAAGCAGCAGCAGCAACAGCTAGAACAGATGGAGTCCCAGAAGACAAAAGCCAACTTGTTTATATTGCAAATTTAAGGTAAATATCCGGAAGTGTCCTCTGTCAGAACAATGTATGTAGATGTGTATGTTTATTTAAGGGGTAATAGGGTTCATGTGAAATATCTACAATCTACCTGTCATAAATAAATGAGAAATTAGTTTACAAAGACTTTGCGTCCTATCCCCGGGATGTTAGGGTGCTAAAATGAATTGAGCCCACTACTCTATATCTAAATCTGAACCGATTTTCAGGAAACTTAAGACACATCATTCCAGACTCAATTCAGTTCGCTATGCTAAATTCCGTGCAAATCGAAAGTTATATAGGGACTTCGGTGCACCATTTACCTAAAATCGGACGAAAATATATATGGGAGCTATATCTAAATCTGAACCGATTTACAGGAAACTTAACACACACCATTCCAGACCTAATTCATTACGCTGTGCCAAATTTCATGCAAATCGAAAGATATATAGGGACTTTGGTGGACCATTTACCTAAAATCGGACGAAAATATATATGGGAGCTATATCTAAATCTGAACCGATTTACAGGAAACTTAACACACATCATTCTAGACTTAATTCATTACGCTGTGCCAAATTTCGTGCAAATCGAAAGATATATAGGGACTTTCGTAGACCATTTACATTAAATCGGACGAAAATATATATGAAAACTGTATCTAAATCTGAACCGATTTTCACGAAACTTAGCGCACATCATTCTAGGCCTTATTCATTACGCCGTGACAAATTTCGTGCAAATCGAAAGATATATAGGGACTTTGGTGGACCATTTACATAATATCGGACTAAAATATATATGAGAGCTATATCTAAATCTGAACCGATTTTCAGGAAACTTAACACACGAAATTAAACACACATCGTTCTAGACTTAATTCAGAACGCTGTGCCAAATTTCATGCAAAGCGAAAGATATATAGGGACTTTGGTGGACCATTTACATTAAATCGGACGATACTATATATGGGAGCTATATCTAAATCTAAACCGATTTTCAGGAAACTTAACACACACCATTCCAGACCTAATTCATTACGCTGTGCCAAATTTCGTGCAAATCGAAAGATATATAGGGACTTTGGTGCACCATTTACCTGAAATCGGACGAAAATATATATGGGAGCTATATCTAAATCTGAAACGATTTTCAGGAAACGTTACGCACATCATTTTATACCTAATTCATTACGCTGTGCCAAATTTCGTGCAAATCGAAAGATATATAAGGACTTTGGTACAGCATTTACATTAAATCGGACGAAAATATATATGGGAGCTATATCTAAATCTGAACCGATTTACAGGAAACTTAACACACATCATTCTAGACCTAATTCATTACGCTGTGCCAAATTTCGTGCAAATCGAAAGATATATAGGGACTTTCGTAGACCATTTACATTAAATCGGACAAAAATATATATGAAAACTATATCTAAATCTGAACCGATTTTCACGAAACTTAGCGCACATCATTCTAGACCTAATTCATTATGCTGTGCCAAATTTCGTGACAATTGAAAGGTATATATGGACTTTGGTGAAATTTCATTAAATCGGATATATATGCGACCTATATCTAAATTTGTTCACAATTTTTCCCAATACATGGACGGGGCAAAATAAGTGACCTAGACGGACATGTGACCTAAAAAAATCGACTCAGAAAGTTATTCTAGGCATATTCTCAAAGGGAACCATGAGTCTATTTCGTTTCCTTTTGCCTGTTACAAACATATGCACAAAGACATAATACCCTGTACTACAGTGTGGTGAAGGGTATAAAAATGAAAGTTCGAACAGAATTTTTATAAAATATATTATGTATGTTTCAAAATAGGGCTGGATAAAAAATATTTTTAATGTAAAAGAAAAATACAACGCAGTGAGCGGAGCAGTATAGTCGGACGGGGCCGACCATATGATACCCTACACAACTTCTACGAAAATCTAACTTTCTGTGGTAATACATTCTGAGCTTGGGCAATATTTCGCGATATTTACACCCTCTTGCGACTCTCTTGTTACCGGCCAACGTCTGTCACCTCAGCTCATTGTGTAAAAGCAATAGGGCTGCTACAAACACAACAACAACTAAAGGTCAACGGGTATTACTAATATTCAGTACACCCTTCTAATTCGGATTCTTCTAATGTTCGGATTCCCTTAACCGTGAGTTGTGTTGTTATGTTCGGCTTTCAACTGTGGCCTATAGATCGACTCGAAAAAACAAAAACAAAATAAGTTTTCGGACCACTTCATCCCAGCATTGTTATCACCGAAAATCATAGGTGTTGTCCTTGACCGTACCAGGATCTTAATAGAAAATTTCAAAGCGCTATATATCCGCCTTCTAGTGTGGTAATGCGCAACTAAACAATATATGAATACGTAAGCACCTGTAAACATTTAAGTGTATCTCCCACATCCGAGTACGTGCAATAATATAATTGGTATCAATTTAAAGGTCAACCACTCCTCTTGGACATACTATTAACTTCTCGGGCCCATGTCCTCCAGGGTTAAATATATACGCTATAGAATACAAATTTTGTAATTTTTCGCACAAAAGATGGGGTCCATTTGACCCATTAAATATTGCCCCATCAACAGGCATGCTTATTCTTTGACCCGATCCCCCTCTTCCTGTAAAAAATTGCGATGTTTGGGCCATAATTGCGACCTCTGAAGCGACCAGAAAATTAGACAAAAATAATGTATTTTGTTCATTTCATCCCCTAAAGATTAACCGATCTTTACCAAAAACAATAGGGGACGTCATAGGCCAGAACCCATTCTACATTCACATTTTTGTGAAGATTGGTTCATAACTGTGGCCTGTATCGGGTTTACAAATTATAATGGACAGACGGACGGACACATATGTCTAGATCGACTCAGCTAACATCCAAAAAATATTTTTAAAAAAATCCATGTCTCTCCACAACCCCAAAAAATATTTTTAAAAAAATCCATGTCTCTCCACAACCCCAAAAAAATATTTTTTAAAAAAATCCATGTCTCTGCCAAATCTAAAAAAAAACATTTTTAAAAAATCCACGCCCATCTGTGAGCCTGAAAAAAAATTGTCCTTTAAAAATTTTTTTTTAAATGACAATTTTTTTTTAAATTCCGCGCCTATATGTGACCTTAAAAAATAGTCGTAAAAAATCGGCGCATAAGTTGGGGCCTTAATTTTTTTGTAAATCCACACCAACTGCGAAGGGTTTTTTTAAACTCATGGCTTGTTATTGTCCGTTTTTGTTCTCTATTTAAAAACTTTGTGAGCTTCCTGCATCCTTTCCCAAACTCCCACGGTAACACATGTCCTCTATTTATATTTCTCCATTGAGTACTTCCATTTAATTTCTGTCAAAAAAAAACTTCTACTTCTTCGTTTCCATACAATCGGAATGTCAAGACAAAAATTACATCCTTATGCTCCCATACGTGTCATCTATGAATGTGGGCAGGGTGGGTATGTGTGTGTGTGTGTTTGGAATGACTGTTTCCAAGAATCATTTGTTGTTCTACTTACCACTCCCACAGAGAAATAGTTATTGATGATGTTGTACGGCACGGTGCAGTCCTTTTCAGTCTGACTTTTTAATGGCTTTTGTGGGGGAATGTTGAACGATTTCATTTCACCGGCTGTGGGCGTTGGTGTTGTTGTCCGACAGCCTTGGCTGGGCGAGGGTGATGGGATACCGGGCAATGTTGTTGGTCGGGGTGTCGAGGGGCTGGGTGTGGGTGTTTGGGCCGATTCAGCATTGGGGCCGGCCATAGCCGGAGTGGTTTCGGCATCGGCATCGGTGTCAGGTACAGTTTCACTTTCACTAATTACAAATGCTTCATTACGAATGCCATTGGAAGTGGAGATGGCTGTGTGGAGATGCTTGGCCACATTTGATGTTGGCGTCAGCTGGGATTGTGGTGAGGCGTTGTTGTTATGGTTCTGGTTATTGCTGGCAGACAAATTGCCATTTAGGTTCATTGATTTGTGGGCATTGTCGTCGTCACCGACTGTGTTATGATCGTGTGGGTCATTGTTGCAGCCATAGCCAGTGTCAGCTGTGGCCTCCTCCCCATCCTCTCCCCCCAGATTGCCTTGGTCATGTGGCATTGACGTTGATATTGTCTTGGCACTTGGCTGCTGACGTTGCACCGTCGATGTGGCACTGCTACAGGACGTTGTAGGACTACTGCAATAGCTGATCATTGTCTCTTGCCGGGAACTGTAGGCCAATCGTTTCGTTTCAAATGTCGACATTGATATGCTTTTGGTTGTCTTGCATGTCGTCGTCGTGGTTGCACCATCCTCATCCATATCCACATTGTCGTAAATTCTATTGCCTTCTTCATCGTAGTCGCTGGTGGTGTCTTTGTCATCTTGACGGCCGCAGGCTTGTGGAGGACTTTCATTGGCTGGTGTTTGTGAATGATGTGGGTGATGTTGATGGCAGAGATTCGTATTACAGCTGCCGCTTCGTTGAATTTCTTCACATTTCTCAATAAAGGACTTTTCAACGACCACACTTTGAGACAATTCGAATACCTTCTGCATGTTGGAGTGCAGGGTCACCTGGCAAGAAAGAAAAAAATCAAAGGATAAAATCGTGGTTAGAAGAGGTGTGGAGAGGGATCCTAATAAGTAGGTGTTAATTGCCGTGGTGACAGATTGAATGGAAATCTATTGAATGACAATATTTGTCAGAGAATTTGTAAGAAAATTTTGAAAAACCGAAAAACCAAATTTTTAAAATTTTCTTGTGAAAAATTTCCGATTGAAAATTTTCTAGGAAATTTTTAACCAAAACAAATTTTTGCATTAAAAATCAAACTGATTGGAAACCAGTGAGCGGAGCAGTATAGTCGGACGGGGCCGACCATATGATACCCTACACAACTACCACGAAAAGTAAACTTTCTGCGGTTCTATATTCTGAGCCTGGGCAATATTTCGTGATATTTGCACACTTTTTACCGATTATAGACCTTGAATATTGACCGATCATCATCTAAACAGCCGTATTTGGTCAGACCCCCTTCACCTTGTAAAATATGTGATGTTCTGCATATAATAATTGCCTCTAGAGCGACTAGAAAATCTGACAAAAATTACAGTTTTCGGTTCATTGCACCCCCCTGAATGAAATCTAAACTTTACCGCAAACTATAGGCGTCGTCCTTGATCATAATCGGAACTTCATGTACAATTTCAAAGCGATCAGCGCGACATTTCCGTTCTCTAATGGGGGTAATATTAATACTATGCACATAGTCACCTTGACCTAATTACGTATAACTCTCACATCAGTAGTAATTGGTATCAAGGTCAACAACTCCTCCTGGATATACGATCAACTTTTCGGGTATATGTCCTTCAGGAGCAAGTATATACGCCCCAGAATAAAAATTTCGGAATTTTTCACACAGAAGTCTGGGTCCATTTGACCCGCTAAATATTGACCGATCTTTATCAAAACAGGCATGCTTATTCTTTTGCCCGACCCCCCTCTCTCCATGTAAAATTTCACGATGTTCGGACCAAAACTGCGGCCTCTGGAGCGCCCAGAAAAACCGTCAAAAATTAAGTATTTGGTCCGTTTCATCCCCTAAATGTTAACCGATCTTTACCAAAAACAATAGGGGTCTTCATTGGCCAGAACCCATCCTACATGCTAAAGATTGGTCCATAACTGTGGCCTGTATCGTATTTACAAATTATAATGGACAGACGGACGGACGTACACACATGTCAACATCGACTCAGCAAGTTGAGATATAACGATCGGTATACTTAAAGCTGGGTCTAGGACCAATATTTCGCGGCGTTACAAACTTTAGGGGCTACACAAAGCTATAATACCCTGACAACATATTTGTGTAGGGTATAAAAATATACAACTACCCAAATTTCCCCTTTCATCAATCATCAGCGTATGTAAATTACACTTCCATCCACCTAAAAGAAATCCGATCCGATTATGCTCTGCTGATGCGACACCAATTCAATACCTCCAATTCAACACCACCAGCAAAACACCATTCCGAACAATTCAATTTGCCCATAGACACTTACCTTTGGTTTTGGTATTTCCTCACAGATCGGGTTATTGGTCACCTCGATGCTCCAACGATCCAGCATCACTAAACTGGCACGACGGATTTTGTCCATTAGTTTGGGTATGTTTTCACCCTCATAGCCGCCACCCCAACGTAGGCAACGTGCCAAATCGTTGCCAGTCCCCAGGGGGATGACACCAATGGCTGGCTGGGAGGCAAATTCAATGGAATCTGAAACGAAACGGAAACCATAAGAAAGAAAAAAACAACAACAAAAAACGGAAAACCATTACAAAACGCATAAAACGGAATTTCCATGGGATGAGTAAGGGAAATCACAAAAAAAAGGCAGGCGAAAATGAGCCGTAAAGTAACCAAAAAAAAAGGAGGAAAAAAGGAATAAAAACGAACGGAACAAACACAGCTTAAAGTGTTGGGCCCCAGCATTTAAGCAATGCTAAGCCATAGCCGAAATAATACTTGACCAAAAGTGGCCACATAGGAGCAATGAGCTGCAGTCGCTGCTGGTTTTTCAACATACACACACAAACAAGAGCTTCGAACTTACCCATAGCTTCCAGGACCCAGCCGACAGTGCCATCACCACCGCAACAAATTACCTTAAAATTAGGCAAGTCCTTAAACAGTGTTAATCCTGTGGAAAGGCAAAAAAAGGAAAGAGAAAAATGTGGGGAGTGTGAGTGAGTAAATAAAACAAGGATTTTCTTTACAGACCATAAATCAAGGATAATAAAAATCAAAGCTATTCAGGCGGTACTTTCGTTTTTCTTTGGGTTGGGTAGGAGTAGGTGGATTGTTGTTATCGAACTTTTATTCTCTGTTACAAATTGAAGGAGGTTCTTTTTATTTTATCTTTAATGTTAGATAAGGATAATGACTGAGAATGAGATGAAAAGATTGTGGGAGGGAGGGAGGTAGGTTTTTTTATTTTAATCGTCTTTTGTTCGAGGAAAACATTCGAAAGGCTTTAAAAATTGTGAGGGGACCTTGATCATAATAGAAAAATTCTTAGAAAATTTTTCTATATTTGTTTTCTAAAAAAAATTTCTGCAAAAAAAATCTATAAAAAATTTTTAAAAAAACCAAGCCTTGAGATAGGCATTTAAAAAAAAATTAATTAAATTCCCGCCTAAGAACAGGCATTGGAAAAATATTTTTGATTAAATTCCCGCCTAAGAATGGACATATTTTTAAAAAATTCACGCCTATGGGTAGAAAATTGCCTATTATCCTAAGTTTCGGTCCAATTTTCGAGATCTTAAGGATTTCAGACATGCTTCACAATCGAGTTGGCTCAAATTTAATACTTCGGGTTCTCCTTGGGTGTTAAACCTTTCTACCCAAAATTATCAATATTGGATTGGACTTTTTGGTATAGCCCTCATATAAGGATACCTCGAAATTTTTCAACCGAATAGGCTGTAATTTTTTATTTTGCGTTCTCAGTAGGTATGAAAACTTTCCACCAAAAATCATCAATATTGGTCGATGTTTTGTTATAGACCCTATATAAGGGTAACCTCTAATTTTCGTGATTTTTAGGATTTCAGACACATTTTTGTACCGAATTTACTGCGATTTGATATTATGGTTTCTCATAGGGCAGAAAATCTGCCTACCAAAAATAATGAGTATTGCTCAACTTTTTAGGTTATCGCCCATATAAGGGTACCCGTCAATGTTCGGAATTTTGAGGATTTCCGCCAGGATTTTCGAACGAATTAGCTATAATTTGGTATTTTGGGTTCTCATTAGGTGGTAAATTTCCCCACCAAAAATTATCAACTTAGGTCCACTTTTTATGGTAGGCCCCATATAAGGGTACCCGTCAATTTTCGGGATTTTGAGGATTTCCGCCAGGATTTTCAACCGAATTGGCTATAATTTGGTATTTTGGGTTCTCATTAGTTGGTACATTTTCCCACCAGAAATCATCAACATAGGTCCACTTTTTATGGTATCCCCCTTATAAGGGTACCCGTCAATTTTCGGGATTTTGAAGATTTCCGCCAGGTTTTCCAACCGAATTGGCAACAAATTTGTATTTACGATTCTCATTAGGTAACAAAATTTCGCACAAAAAAAATTCAATTTACATATAAAGGTACCCTTCAATGTTCGGGATTTTGAAGATATCCGCCAAATTTTTCAATGGACTTGGCTGTAATTTGTTTTTTAGGTTCTTAGGTTGGATAGGACATCTTTCCACCAAAAATTATAAATATCAGTCGATGTTTTGTTGTAGACCCCATGTAAGGGTACCGCCGAACTTTTGGGATTTTGAGGATTTCCGCCAGGTTTATCAACCGAATTGGCAAAGAATTTGTATTTAGGTCTTAGGCTTACGGATTAGGCTGTAATTTGCTATTTTAGGTTCTTAGGTTGGGTAGGGCATCTTTCTACAAAAAATTATAAATAGGATCGTATGTTTTGTTATGGACCGTATTTAAGGGTACCTTCCAATTTTCGGGATTTTATGGATTTCCGCAATGTTTTTCAAAATAATTGACTGTAGTTTGGTATTATGGATACTCATTGGCTGTAAAATCGTCCTACCAAAAATTGGTCGAATTTTTAGGGTACCCCTAATATAACGAGCATCCTCCCAACTTTCCGAATTTTGAGGATTTCATATATTTTTCAACTGACATGACTCTTATTTCGGACCGAATTCGCTCTTATTTTATATTTAGGATTCTCATTGGATGTTTAGTCTTCCTATCAAAAATTATAAATATTGGTCGAGCTTTAAGTATAGTGCCCATATGCAGCTCCAGCCAGGTCCAGGTATTTTGATGGTCCTAGGCACATTTTTAAAACGGAATTGATATTACGAAGTGACGGCAATTTGGTATTACGGGTCCTTGGTGGGTAAACCAATTCTTTAATATAAGTCCATGGTTCCACATAGACCCCAAATAATAAGAGCACGATATGTTGAAGGTTTTAGCGCAAGTTTCCAACCTGAGTCTCTACAGTTTGGTATTTTGAGTTTCTCCTGGCAGCATTTTAGCATGACATAGCTCCCATATAAATGTTCCGAGTTTAGGTATTTTGAATGTCCACATCTTGGTGGAGAATATAAAAACATTGACCGGGCCGAACATTTTCAAACCCGACAAAATCTTTATTGAGAATAAATCGACCTATTTTTTTCTTCATATAATATCCTAGCTCCTCTTATCCCATAACTAGTATCCAGTTAGTTTACAATAAATGTAACAGTAAATTTTATTCATACGCCGGTCCTCCCTTGAACTTCGAACACATGCAGGAAGACCTCAAGTGTTTGTTGGCTTGCTTGCAGAACTATTTTAATTTAAATGAGAAAACTTTTTAATTTGCAAAATATTCTAATTTTTATAAATGATGAGGAATCATGCCAGAAGCCTAACACTCCTCTGCTCACCCCTCCGTCTGGTTACAATTCCGAATAAAAACTTGGGATACAATGTACAAAAGTGTTTGGTAATTGAAATTAAATTAGAAATATTTTCATTTTCACACAAAGAGAGCAAGCGAGAGAGAGAGAGAGAGGGAGCGAGGAAGGGAGAGAGCAAAGTCATTTATCTTCAAGAGGTAGCAATTTGTAACAGGTTCAACATAACCTAACCAGCCTGGCTGATGACTGACTAACTGCCAGTCTTATGCATTTTTCAAACACATTGACAACCCACTACTACCACAATTACACACTACACTACTACATGCACACAAAGTTCAATTTGGACTTACCTTCTTTGGGTCCACCTTTTGATAAATCATAGACCTGACGTGGATTAAGCATATATTGGAATTTACGCAGGATACGATCACCTTGACGTCCGCCACTTTTGGGATTAACGAACACCAACAGGGGGCAGCTGCCTTCGTTGGGTGGTGTCAGTTGGAAATGGGTGGCCTGATGATGTTGTTGTTGCGGGTGATTAGTTTGTAGAGATGAAGAAGATTTCTGCTGTTAGTTTTTCGAAAAATCCAAATGGCCGAACAGTAGAAGCATGGGGACGGACACGCAATACACACACACAGAGAGAGAGATTTGTGGATTACATAAGCATAAGCATGGACATGGACAAAGGGCATGAATTACATATGCAGGCGCACACACGCACACACATACATAGATGGAGAAACATATGTTTTAATTAATATTTAAATTGATGTTAGAGAAAGGTAAATCGGAACTGATGAGGTGTAAAACAAACATGGGTGATGCGAATGAATATAAAATTTAATTTTACAATGTTAAGACAGGATGTGTAGGGATGTGGGATCAAAGGAATTTATTTGTGGAAGACAATGGAAATGGGGTGGGCGGGAATTTCAAATTAGAATTGGGTTTGTGGTGATTTGTGTTGTTAGGCGGGATAAATTGTGTTGAGGTAATATGGACATAAAATAATGGGATTACAAAGGCATGTGTTGAGGTAAAAAAATTGTGTTGGGACACCTTTTTTCTACAGAATTGAAATTAGAACCAAGGGTCCTGACGAATTTTTTTCCATAGGAACAAAAAATCGGCTCAGAATGTTCTATAGAAAAAAATCGGTCCAGACTGTTCTGACGATTTTTTTCTCAAAAAAAAAAAAAAAAAAAAAATCGGCCCAGATTGTCTTGACGATTTTTTTCCTATAGAAAAAATCGGCCCAGATTGTCCTGACGAATTATTTTTCTATAGAAAAAATTGGGACCCAAGGGGTCCTGACCAATTTTTTTCTAAAGGAAAAAAAATTGGACCCAAGGGGTCCTGACGAATTTTTTTCTATAGAAAAAAAATTGGACCCAAAGGGTCCTGATTAATTTTTTTCTATAGAAAACAATTTGGACCCAAGGGGTACTGACGAATTTTTTTCTATAGAAAAAAATTTGACAAAATTTTTTTCTATAGAAAAAAATTAGACCCCAAGGGGTCCTGACAAAATTTTTTTCTATAGAAAAAAATTAGACCCCAAGGGGTCCTGACGAATTTTTTTCTATAGAAAAAAAATTCGTCAAGGGGTCCTGAAAAAAAAAATCTTTTTTTTCCCCCCTTGTGTCCAATTTTTTTTCTATAGAAAAAAATTGCACCCAGGGGTCCTGACGGGTCTATTGAAAAAAAAAACCCCATGGGGTCCTGAAAGAAAAAAAAAAAACTTTCCCATGGGGTCCTGGCGAATTTTTTTCTCAAAAAAAAAAAAAATTGGACCCAATGGTTTTTTTTTATTTTTTGGACCAAGAGGATTTTTTTCTATACAAAAAATTGGACCCAAGGGTACTGGCGATTTTTTCCGTGAATATTTTTTAATGTATATGTGTGTATCTTAAATAAATGAAAATGAAACATAGCTTAAAGCCACAGCACTGCTGTTTACCCAATATTGGTAAAACATTTCCATTTACCTTATTTGCCTGATTAACGGAACGTTGACGATCCAATACAGCTGGGCATATTGAGGTGGGTGGTATTATCAACTCAGCGTATTCGCCCAAGGTACATTCCTTTTTTACGGAGGAGGCACAACGATTGTGGAGCTGAAAGTAGAAAAAATACAACAAATGAGAATTCGTATGAAAATTGGGCAAGGTGTGGGAGGGGGATGGATTAAAATAAACAAAGTCAATTTCAATTTTCGAAAGGAGATTCTTTTTAAATATTTTTTTTTTTTGGAAATGACAAAAAGCCATTTCGAATTGAAATTGAATACAATGAATTTTCATTATCGTCGGTGGAGTTTAGTTTACAGTTTATGTGAGGGTTTTGGTTTCGATGTTGTGATTATTTGTACACGTGTCGAATTGAATTAATCGGTATGGCATGTTTAAACATTTTGAGGCTTGGAGAAATTCTGAGAAAATGGGCATTATAGACTGTTAATTAAGTGTAAACGATTTTGAATAGACATGCTTAAAGGGAAATTTTATGTTCAATGATTTCAGCATGATAAAAAATTTAAAATAAATTAAAACCAATGAGGAGAGTAGTAAAGTCGGACAGGGCTGACTATATGATACCCTTCACCACTTTGGATATATCCTACATTTGTATCCTTACAATTGCATATTAATGTTTCCTCGAAGGAACATAATAATGGCTTTCTGCAACCTATGCTAAATTTAATTCGGACAGATTTAGAGTCGTCTGTGTACCATGGGACAAATTTATGTACAACGAAAACGACCATCGGACGAATATATATATATATGTGGGAGCTATATCGAAATCTGAACCGAAACTTACAAAACATCATTCTAGACTTAATTCAGTACGGTATGCCAAATTTCGTGCAAATCGGACGATATATAGGGGCTTGGTGCACCATTTACACAAAATCGGACGAAAATATGTAGGGGAGCTATATCTAAATCTGAACAGATTTTCACGAATCTTGGCACACATCGTTCTAGACTCAATTCAGTGCGGTATGCCAAATTTCGTGCAAATCGGAGGATATATAGGGACTTTGGTGCACTATTTACCTTAAATCGGACGAAAATATATATGGGAGCTATATCTAAATCTGAACTGATTTTCACGAATCTTAGCACACATCGTTCTAGGCTGAATTCCGTACACTGTGCCAAATATCGTGCAAATCGAAGGATATCTAGGGACTTTGGTGCACAATTTACATTAAATCGGACGAAAATATATATGAGAGCTATATCTAAACTGAACCGATTTTCACCAAACTTAACACACATCATTCTAGGCTGAATTCAGTACACTGTGCCAAATTTCGTGCAAATCGAAAGATATTTAGGGACTTTGGTGCACAATTTACCTTAAATCGGACGAAAATATATATGAGAGCTATATCTAAATCTGAACCGATTTTCACGAAACTTAACACACATCATTCTAGGCTGAATTCAGTACACTGTGCCAAATTTCGTGCAAATCGAAGGATATCTAGGGACTTTGGTGCACCATTTACCTTAAATCGGACGAAAATATATATGGGAGCTATATCTAAATCTGAACCGATTTTTATGAAACTTAGCACACATCATTCTAGACTCAATTCAGTACGTTGTGCCAAATTTCGTGCAAATCGAATGATATTTAGGGACTTTGGTGAACCATTTACAATAAATCGGACGAATATATATATATGGGAGCTATATCTAAATTTGAACCGATTTTCACGAAACATCATTCTAGGCTTAATTCAGTACACTATGCCAAATTTCGTGCAAATCGAAAAAGAAATAGAGTCTTTGGTGCACCATTTACAATAAATCGGACGAATATATATATATATATATATATATATGGGAGCTATATCTAAATCTGAACCGATTTTCAGGAAACTTAGCACACATCATTCTAGGCTTAATTCAGTACACTATGCCAAATTTCGTGCAAATCGGAGGATATATAGGGACTTTGGTGCAAGATTTACACAAAATCGGACGAAAATATATATAGGAGCTATTTCTAAAACTGAACCGATTTTCACGAATTTTAACACACATTATTCTAGGCTCAATTCAGTACGCTGTGCCAAATTTCGTGAAAATCGAAAGATATTTACCTTAAATCGGTACTATATATGGTACATATCCATTTACCTTTTAAATTAAATCAGTATGCTGTGCCAAATTTCGAATATATAAAGGAGCTATATATCTATATCTCTGAACCGATTTTCACGAAACTTAACGCACATCATTCTAGACTTAGTTCAGTACGTTGTACCAAATTTAGTGCAAATCAAAAGATATTTAGGGACTTTGGTGCACCATATATATTTTCGTCTGATTTAAGGTGAAAATTGGACGAAAATATATATGGGAGCTAAATCTGAACCGATTTTGCCCAATTTTGGAGGCCTTAATTTTTTTAAATCGAAGCCTTGTAGAAGACTACCCAACACCATGTACAACAAATCGATGCCATTAAATAAAACTACATTGGATTTTTTTCATCGATTTTTTCTCCCATTCACCTCCTTCCCTCCTCCTGCAAGCAGTCATGGGTCTCCTGTCACTTGTTACATCGAATTGCTTGTTTACGCTTAACACGTTTTTATTATTGTCAAATTACGTTCTTAACAAAATATTGAAAAAGTACAAAATTGTCTTTTGTCGAAATGTACGATGCGTGCCGTGCCACTTTGGGTACCACTCGAAGACGTGCTAGACGAATAGTCGTGGCAGCTAAGGAACTGGCAAAGGACTTGAAAAACAACAACACTAACAATAAATAAAGGAAACAAACACTAAATTTGATCAAAAGAAAGTAGACGAGGAGGAAAAAAACAAGGCAACTTGTTAAGTAAACAACTCAAGCAGGTTGGGGCCTGAAGAGATGTAAGAGTAGGGCGACCCATTGAATCGAACGCAACAATATTCTGTGTAATCAGCAACATATTTTCGTAATACAAAAAAAAAAAAATGAAATAAAATAAAATAACCAACAACAACTACATTGGCAAAAAATAGTTCATTCTAAGAAACTGTTAAGGACTGGATGTTCTCCACTTTCCCATTGAATAGAACCTAAAATTTAGACGCCGTGTGGGGTGGTGTCGACAAAATAAACCTCAACTATTTGTAGCAAAGAGACCATCACATTCAATTTTTAGAGGAGAGAGGAGGAATGAGGTGTGATGTGCAAGTTTTGGCTACACAAGCCTGCTAAGCCTCGGCATTGTTATTCCGTAGACCAACATGTAATGCCCTTTCAATACTTTTTGTTTTGTGTCAGGACAAATGGAACAATGAACTCCACCACCACCACATCAATTTTTTCTTGTTATTGTTGTTGCTGTTGTCATTATTTTCTGCTTATTGGGATTTTGGAAACAACATTTGCCCATTGCCATTTTGTTCGCTTTTCAGTGGAAATACGTGACAATTTTCTCATTGACAATTTAAGCGGAAATAATACAAAAATCCCCCCAAACTATAAAGTCTCCAATTGGAAGGATGTCGTTGTTGTCGCAGTGGTGGTAGTAGTTCTTATTGTGAGTTGTGGTGTCAAAGGATATCATTTTTGCAATAGACTTTAATGGCTTGAAAATTGATGAGTGCGAACAAAAATATGATGGCAATAAGACGAGTGAAATATAAACTGGAAGGAGACAGGGTGGGACAGAAATATATTTGTTGTGAGTGTTTAAAAATATAAATTTTTTAAAAAAATCCACGAATCCTTAAAAAATATTTTTTAACCAGTAAGGAAAGTAGTAAAGTCGGACTGAGCCGACTATTCTATATTCTTCATTTGTATACATATGTATAGCGCATATACATATGTATCGAAATCTGAACCGATTTTCTCGAAACTTGCCACTCATCAGTCTAGACTTAATTCATTGCGCTCTGCCAAATTTGGTGCAAATCGAAGGATATATAGGGACTAGTTACCTTAAATCGGACGAAAATATATATGGGAGCTATATCTAAATCTGAACTGATTTTCATTAAATTTAGCACACATCGTTCGAAAATTAATTCAGAACGCTATGCAAAATTTCGGGCAAATCGAAGGATATATTGGGACTTTGGTACTTTATTTACCTAAAATCGGACGAAAATATATATGGGAGCTATATCTAAATCTGAACTGATTTTCACGAAATTTAACACACATCGTTCCAAAATTAATTCAGAGCGCTATGCAAAATTTCGTGCAAATCGAAGGATATACAGGGACTTTCGGGCACTAGTTACCTTAAATCGGACGAAAATATATATGGGAGCTATATCGAAATCTGAACCGATTTTCATGAAACTCACTATTCACCATTCCAGACTTAATTCAGTACGCTGTGCCAAATTTCGTGCAAATCGAAGGATAAAAAACGGACTTTAGTGCAGTATTTACCTAAAATCGGAAGAAAATACATATGGGACCTACATCTAAATCTGAACCTATTTTCACGAAACTTAACGAACATCATTCTAGGCTTAATTCAGTACACTATGCCAAATTGCATGCAAATCGAAGGATATAAAAGGACTTTAGTGCACTATTTACCTAAAATCGGACGAAAATATGTATGAGAGCTATATCTAAATCTGAACCGATTTTCACGAAATTAAACACACATCGTTCTAGACTTAATTCAGTAAGCTGTGCCAAATTTCGTGCAAATCAAAGGACACGTAGGGACTTTGGTGCACTATTTACCTAAAATCGGACGAAAATATATATGGGAGCTATATCGAAATCTGAACCGATTTTCACGAAACTTAACGCACATCATTCTAGGCTTAATTCAGTAAACTATGCTAAACCGATTTTCACGAAACTTAGCACACATTATACTAGACTTAGTTCAGTAGGCTGTGCCAAATTTCGTGCAAATCAAATGACACATATAGGCTTTCGTGCACTATTTACCTAAGATCGGACGAAAAAATATATAAGAGCTATATATAAATCTGAACCGATTTTCTCGAAACTTATATATGGCAGCTATATCTAAATCTGAACCGATTTTTACGAAACTTAACACTCATCACACTAGACTTAATTTAGTACGACATGCCAAATTTCGTAAAAATCGAAAGGTATATAGGTACTTTGGTGCACCATTTACCTTAAATCGGACGAAAATAAATATTGGAGCTATATCTAAATCTGAACCGATTTTTTCCAATTTCAATAGGGTTCGTCCTTGGGCCAAATAAATAAACTGTGTCAAATTTCATCCAATTCTAATCAAAAATACCACAGTGTGGTAAAGGGTATAAAAAATCCACGCCTTGTGTGAATCCTGTGTGAATATTTTTTAAAAAATCCACGCCTATGGTGGACCTTAAAAAATAATTTTATTTTTTTTAAATCCACGCTTTTTTGATAGGTCCTTCAAAAATATTTTTTTAAAAAGTCCACGCCTTCTATATGTTGTCCGTCTGAAAAATATATATTTTTTAAATCAACGGAAAAGGCAATTCTCTTTTAGGTCACCCTTTATTGTTGCACTAATAATTTGGTCCATGAGAATTTCCTGTGCCAAGAGAGCTCAAAAATGCCTTCATGGAGTGGTAGACCTTGCATGTGACTCTTTGATTATGTCCTGCATTAATAACTTATTGTCCCCCAGTATTTACTTCGACAAAAAAACAAAACCCTGAAGAATTCCCCAACTTAAAGAGATTTAAGCCGAACGTGATTTTCAACAATTTTGAAGATTTTCAACTAGGATCTGGCGGAGCCTTGTCAATGCTCGCCACACCACACCACACCACACCACAGCATGGCATTCATTTAATTATAGCAATTTTGTAAATGACATTGAGTGTCATAGGAGAGCAAAAAAGTACTCCATTCTGCCACCCACCCTTCTATCTAGGCTTCGGCATCGTTGTGTTTTAATTAAGTTTGGTCAGGTGTGGCGGCAAAAAGGAAAAAAAGTGGCAACAAATTGCTCACAAAAGCAAGGACAAAAAGGCAACTACAACAAGATTGAAAAACAAACCAAAAAAAAAAATCACAAAGATTTATTGGAAACTTACCATCATGTGACACCATCGACACGTGAGACCGGTGATGCCGTGATATGCCTTAATACGTTTACGGCACTTCGAACAATGCCCATAGCAATTGCCTTCGACCCAATGATGCAGTAGATCGCCGCCACCTTTGACCTTTTTCGATTTGACATATGTTGTTATGCAAGAGGCCGGGGCACGTTGTACGCAACGCTCGTGAACAGTGTACTTGCATACTGATGGTGGGTGGAGGAGGGTGATATGGTCAGCATCGGCATCATCATCATCGGTATCAATTGGATTGATTGGATTTGCATGAAAAAAGAGGGGGAAGAAGAAAAACAAATAGAAATCAAAAATTAAAATTTTTTATTCCTTCTGTGGAGAAATCTATGTGTGTCAGTGTGTGTGAGCGTGTGTGTTGTATTAACAAATATTTATTGGTATGCCAAAACCGAATAAGCAAATTAAAACCAAAAGAGGGCGAATTGAACCGATACTATTTTTTTCATTTGGTCAGATATAGAAGCTATATCTAAATCAGGACCAATTTTCAGGAAACTTAACACACATCTTTCTAGACCTAATTCATTACGCTGTGCCAAGTTACGTTCAAATCTAAAGATGTCTTGGAGCTTTGGTGCACCATTTATGGGAGCTATATTTAAATCTGAACCGATTTTCAGGAAACAATACACATGCTTCTAGGCCTAATTCATTACGCTGTGCCAAATTTCGTGCAAATTGAAAGATATGTAGGGACTTTGGTGCACCATTTACATTAAATCGGACAAAAATATATATCTAACGATATATATTTTTGTCTGAACGATATATATATTAAATCTGAACCGATTTTCATGAAACTTAACACACATCATATATATATATATATATATATCTATCTAAATATGAACCGATTTTCAGGAAACCTAACACACATCATTCTAGACCGAATCCATTACGCTGTGCCGAATTTCGTTCACATCGAAAGATATATAGGGACTTTGGTGCACCATTTACATTACATCGGACGAAAATATATATGGGACCTATATCTAAATCTGAACCGATTTTTCCCAATTTCAATAGAGTTCGTCCTTGGCCTAATAAGTGACCTACGCCAAATTTCATCCAAATCGGATCATAAATGCGACCTGTACTTTGTTCACAAAAATACATGAGCGGACAGACGGACGGACAGACGGACATGCGTAAATCGACTCAGAAAGTGATTCTATGCATATTCTCAAAAGGAACCATGTGTCTATCTCGTTTCCTTTTGCCTGTTACAAACATATGCACATACAAATATTCTTTAAAAAATCCACGCTTTGTATAGACCGTTAAAAAATATTCTTTAAAAAATCCACGCTTTGTATAGACCTTTAAAAAATATTCTTTAAAAAATCCACGCTTTGTATAGACCTTTAAAAAATATTCTTTAAAAAATCCACGCTTTGTATAGACCTTTAAAAAATAATCTTTAAAAAATCCACGCTTTGTATAGAGCCGTGAAAAAATAATCTTTAAAAAATCCACGCTTTGTATAGACCTCAGAAAAAAATAATCTTTAAAAAATCCACGCTTTGTAATGGCCCTTTGAAAAAATATGCTTTAAATAAATCACGCTTTGTATAGACCTTTAAAAAATCCACGCTTTGTATAGACCTTTAAAAAATATTCTTTAAAAAATCCACGCCTTTGTATAGTCCTCGAAAAAATATTCTTTAAAAAATCCACGCCTTTAGTAGTCCTCGAAAAAATATTCTTTAAAAAATCCACGCCTTTGGTAGTCCTCGAAAAAAATATTCTTTAAAAAATCCACGCCTTTGGTAGTCCTCGAAAAAAATATTCTTTAAAAAATCCACGCCTTTGGTAGTCCTCGAAAAAAATATTCTTTAAAAAATCCACGCCTTTAGTAGTCCTCGAAAAAATATTCTTTAAAAAAATCCACGTCTTTTGTAGTCCTTGAAAAAAATATTCTTTAAAAAATCCACGCCTTTAGTAGTCCTCGAAAAAATATTCTTTAAAAAATCCATATTTTTAAAGATATTCTTTAAAAAAGTTCGACGATACTTACATACACAGCAGAGACCCTTTTTGCCCAGACCAACCAACATATTAAGGCAGAGATTACAGTAGGCCGGTTTCTTGAAATGTTTCAAACGCCAAACGTGATTGCCATCCTCCTTTAGAGCGGTGCTATCAACTCCTGGAGAACAAAAAAAATAAATAAAAATTAAGATACCAAGTACAAATCGTATTAAAATTAAATTTCAATAAACATTTAAACATTTTTTTTTTATTTTTTAAATATCAAAAAAAAAATAAATAAATAAATAATAATAATAAATATTTTTTATTTCTAAAAAATAATTTTTAAATGTTAAATAAAATATAGAAAGTTGAAATATTTTTTTTTTGTAATACAAAAATATTTTTTAAAGTAAAAAATAAATTCTTTAAAAGGTATTTTTTTAAATATAAATAATTTATTTTTAATTTTTTATAATACATTTTTACTTTAAAAATCATTATTTGTAAATTCATTAAATATAATTAAAATTATTTTATTAAATTCTAAAACTTCTTAAATATCTACAAATACCCATTAAAAATTAAAATACCTTCAGCCACAATATTTTTATCTTAAAAGGAGGAAAAAACCTAAGAAAATCTTGAGATGAAGAAAAAAACTCTAAACTGCAGCACAATTTCCTGCACTTGAACAGCATTACCAGCAGCAACCGCAACAACAAAAACACTATCAAAATTGCTGCTTGTCACCAACATATGTTGTTGCTGTTGGTTGGTTGCCTGGTGCTGGAAATAACGATTAAGGAGTACTATTTTTTTCCCATTCCGATTGCCAGTAACTAGGAACCAAGGAAGTTTTAGTCTGTGCAGTAGTACTTTGACAATATTGAAGTCTTAAAGCGCTTCGTTTTTTTCGCATGGGAGAGAGAGAGAGAGGGCTGGAGCGAGGGTTTGTGTGAAAAATATGAAGTATTTTCTTTTCGTCACCATAGGTGCTTCTGGCTTCTAGTGTGTTTATATATATATATATATATATATATATGTGTGTGTCTGTGTGAGTGTGTGTTTGTGTCTGTAGTTTATTGGTTCTCATCTTAAGTGAGTTTCTAGTTTTTTTCTCTTTGAGATGACAAATAAGAAAAAGTTTTTTTCGGTTCTGTGGAGTTTCGTACATGACTAAGGAGTTTGGTTAGTACTTAGCTATAGGACTGCCGGCAGGATGGTAGGGAAGGTGAATTGAATCTACAATATAGGAAGAAAATGGATGGTAGACCTGAAGGAGAATTTTGACGAAAGAGGATGAAAAATGTTGCTACAACGCCTAGGAGGTTTGGTATTGAAAATGGGATATATCGGTCCACAATTTTTGTATATACCCCATATAACGATATCTCACAAATTTCGGTACTATGGGGAACTTGATCAGTATATCAACCCAATCGACAAAAATTTTGTATATTGGGATCTCGTTGGGAAGAAATCTTTGGAGGAAATCTTCCCACCAAAAATGATCAGGACTGGTCGACTTTTAACCCAATAGACCTATAGCGGTAACTACCGATTTGACGTATCTTAATGAGTTAAGGCTCGATTTTCAACCGATTTGGCTGTAATTTAATACTCTGGATTCTCATAGGCTAGAAAATCTACCTACTCAAAATTAGTAATATTGACCGAAATTTCAGTGTAGCTCCCACATAGCAGTACCTCCTAAGTTTCGATATTTTGGGCAAATAATTTAATCTAATTAGCTGAAATTTGGTATTTTGGGTTCTCATGGTTTACGTTTTCTCTCTACTAAAAATTATAATTATATCCATACTTTTTGGTATAGCTCTCTTATAACTATACCATCTGATTTTCAGTATTCTGAAGAGCTTGGACAAAACTTTTTAGTATAGCCCACATATAACGGTACTCCCATTATTCATTATTTTGTTGTATTTTTTATATTTGAGGTTTTCATTAGATAGAAAATCTTCCTACCAAAAATTATCAATCAGTACCCCCCACATTTCGATATTTTGGGGAGCTTGAGCACATTTTTTCAATTGAATTGACTGTAATTTGGTATTTGGGATTCTCTTTAGATAGCAAATCTTCCTACCAAAAATGATTAATATTGACCCATATTTTGGGGTAGCTCCTATATAAGGGTACCTCCCGAATTTCTGTATTTTAGGGAGCTTGTGCCCATATTTTAACCAAATTGGCTGTAATTTGGAGTTTTGGTTTTTCATGTTGTAGATAATCTTCCCACAATCAATTATGAAGATAGGAGCTATACCTCCCATATATCAGTATCTCCCACACATTTCGATATTTTGGGGAGCTTGAGCCCATTTTTTCAATCAAATTGACTGTAATTTGGTACTTGGGATTCTCTTTGGGTGGCAAATCTTCTTACTTCTTCCTACCAAAAATTATTAATATTGACCCAAATTTTGGGGTACCTCCCGACTTTCCGTATTTTAGGGAGCTTGCGCTGATATTTCAACCGAATTGGCTGTAATTTGGAATTTTGAGTTTACATGTTGTAGAAAATCTTCCCACAAAAAATTATGAATATAGGTCCATATTTAGGTATAGCCCCCATGTAAAGGCAACCTCTTTTATTCGATATTTTGGGGGAGCTTGACTATGTTTTTCAACCAAATTGGTTGTAATTTGGTATTTTGGGTTCTCATTGGGTGCCAAATCTTAGTATCAAATATTATTGTTATCGGTCCATATTTTGGTATGGGGTCTATATAAAGGTATCTCCGATTTTCGGAATTTTGACATTTTCAAACATGTTTTCCAATCGAATTGGCTGTAATTTCTTATTTTGGGTTCTCAAGGGGTGACATATCTTCCTACCAAGAACTAATCAATATCGGTCCATTTTATTGTATAGCCCCCATATAAAGTTACCTCCGATTTTCGGTATTTTGAGAAATTTGGACACCGTTTTCAACCAAATTGGCTATAATTTGGTATTTTGAATTCTCACTGGGTGTCAAATCTTCCCACCAAAAACTAAGAATATTTATATACTTTTAAGGGTAGCCCCCATATGAAGGTATCTTCCGAACATCGGTATTTTGGAGGACTTGACTACGTTTTTCGACCAAATTGTCTGTAATTTGATAGTTTGGGTTCTCATTAGATGCCAATTTTATCTACCAAAAATTATCAATTTTCCAATCGAATTGGCTGTAATTTGTTATTTTGGGTTCTCAGGAGGTGACATATCTTCCTAACAAAAATAATCAATATCGGTCCACATTTTGGTATACCCGCATATGACTGGACCTCCGATTTTCGGTATTTTGAGAATTTCAAACATGTTTTCCAATCAAATTGGCTGTAATTTGTTATTTTGGATTCTCAAGGGGTGACAAATCTTCCTACCAAAAACTAATCAATATCGGTCCAATTTATGGTATAGCCCACATATGACGGGACCTCCGTTTTTCGGTATTTTAAGAAATTTGGGCACCGTTTTCAACCAAATTGGTTATAATTTGATATTTTAAATTTTCACTGGGTGTCAAATCTTCCTACAAAAAATTATCATTATCGGTCCACATTTTGGTATAGCCCCCATATAACAGGACCTCTGATTTTTGGGCATTATATGGGGTAATTTTTGGGTATAGACCCCATATAACATTGGCTGTAATTTTTTATTTTGGGTTCTCAAGGGGTGATATATCTTCCTACAAAAAATAATCGATATCGGTCCACTTTATGCTATAGACCTCATATGACGGGACCTCCGTTTTTCGGTATTTTGAGAAATTTGGTATGATTATGTACCAAATTGGTTATAATTTGGTTTTTAAATTTTGGGGTGTCAAATATTCCTACAAAAAATTATCTTATATTGGTTACATTTTGGTATAGACCTCATATAACAGGACCTCCGATTTTTGGGCATTATATGGGGTCATTTTTGGGTATAGACCCCATATAACAGGACCTCCGATTTTTGGGCATTTTGTGTAGATTTTTTATGGGTTTTTAACCGATTTTGTTGTAATTTGATATTTTGCATTCTAACTGAGTATCGAATATTCCTTCCAAAAATTTTCAATATCGGTCCATGGTATGATATATGTAGCTCATTGGTATGATATATGTAGCCCATTTTTTTGATATTTTGGGGGTCTTGACTATGTTATTCTTTCATATTGGTTATAATTTGGTATTTTTGGTTCTCCTATGGTAGAGAATCGTCGTAGCAAAAATTATAATTATTGGTCCATGATTTGGTATAGCCCCAATATAAAGGTGCCTCCCGATATTCGGTATTTTAAGAACTTTTCGTTTTTATCCGAATTGGCTGTAAATTGGTATTTTGGGTTCTCACCAGGTGTCAAATTATTATACCAAAAATTGTCAATTTTGGTTCAGGTTCGTGTATAGTCCTCATATAAAGTATCCCAAATTGTCCCAATTTTGAAGATTTTTGACACGTTTTTCAACCGTATCAGCTCTAAATTCATATTTTGGAGTTCTCATTAGGTGGCAAATCTTCATACCAAAAAATTTTAAAATATGTTTATCCCCCATATTTCCCATGTATTTCCCATCCGAATTGACTCTGTTTACAGAATATTTTCAATATAAGTCCATGTCTCCCATACATAGGCATGTTTAAGGTCCGAGCCCAATTTTCCCATATAACAGATCCCCCATATACAAATGTCTCCATAGATTTTAGATATTTTAAATATCCACCTTTTGTTGGAGGTTTTAAAATGTTCAGATCCTGCCGAACTTAAAGACGTTTTTACTTGTTCTCTAATTTTATTTAGTTTTTTTTTTTTTTTAATTTTGGGATTGTCTCATACCCTTGCCTATGTATCCACAATAGTTAATATCACACATCTCTTTACAAAATATTCATCTTCTTATTTTACCTCTTCTCATTTCTTCTTCGACATATTTTTTTTTTGATTTTCCACATAACTTACCTAATAGCACCAATAAAGGTATCGTTGTCATGCCACCACGTTGCCATTCCTCCAACGAGACAGTGCCATCGGCATCATAGTCAATTTCGATCATCATATCTTGTAAAATCTGTAAAATTTCCATGAAGAAGGAGAAGAAGACAAGAATGAAACTAAGGGCATCAAAAATAGAGATATTTGCACATTGTATATATATATGTGTGTGTATGTATATGTATAGGAAAATATGTGAGTGTTATGAATGTTTATATTGCCATGCTAAAGAGTATGCACATGAATTTGAAAATAGATGAAAGTCGATGTGAAAGTATGTGTGTGTGTGTAGCTGGCATATGAATTGTCACTTATAGTCGTGTGTGTCTGTGTGGCAAAAGTTTCGAATCGACACACAAGTGTTTGGCAATTTAAGAAACATATCACAGCCAGAGATATCTTGATTTGAGAAGAAATTTTCCAAAATATCCACTTGCCACATATTTCGAAGATGGAAGTAAGCTCAAACAAAAATTGACTTTGCCCCTAATGATATGACAATGATATGAATATTGTCAAAACGTTTTATTGCTATTCATTCGAATAAATGAATGACTGAATGAATGTCTTTGCGGTATTCAATGGGTTTTTGTAATTTAAATTATATTTAAATATTTATTCAGGGACTTAAATTGTAAATGAAGATTCCAAGAATTCTATTATCATCATTTTGAATTTTGTAAAGAAATTGTTAATAATTTGTAGTGTATTGTTACCACATAGTAATCTAAATATTTTATCAAACGTATACGCATTGTGGGCTGGGTTAAGTATTTGATCAAATGCTACAAAAGCCATAAGGTCTTTTATAATTGAAAAACACTTTATTGAGGATGTTTAACAGGGATGTTACTTTTCAAAATAATTGTTAGAGTATTCCAAGAATTGTATGTTCTAAAGAAGAGACAATTTATATAGCATCAATACTGAAAAAAAGCCTGAATTTTGGGGAAGAAATAATTTTTAAGGTGACAATATTTTAAAAATATTTTTTTTTCAATGACTACTAGAGACGTGGAATTTTTAAAAAAATTGTTTGAAGCTTTTGTAAAGGCTCTATAAAAGGCGTGGATTTTTTAAAGAATATTTTTTCAAGGCTCAATACAAGGCGTGGATGTTTTAAAAAATATTTTTTCAAGCTTTTGGATTTTTTAAAATATTTTTTCAAGCCTATACAGAAAAAATACAAGGCGTGGATTTTTTAAAGAATATTTTTTTAAGGCCTATACAGAAGGCGTGGATTTTTTAAAGAATTTTTTTTTTCAAGGCCTATACAGAAGGCCTGGATTGTTTAAAGAATATTTTTTCAAGGCCTATACAGAAGGCGTGGATTTTTTAAAGAATATTTTTTTCAAGGCCTATACAGAAGGCCTGGATTTTTTAAAGAATATTTTTTCAAGGCCTATACAGGAGGCGTGGATTTTTTAAAGAATATTTTTTAAAGGGCTATACAGAAGGCGTGGATTTTTTAAAGAATATTTTTTCAAGGCCTATACAGAAGGCGTGGATTTTTTAAAGAATATTTTTTCAAGGCCTATACAGGAGGCGTGGATTTTTTAAAGAATATTTTTTCAAGGCCTATACAGAAGGCGTGGATTTTTTAAAGAATATTTTTTCAAGGCCTATACAGAAGGCGTGGATTTTTTAAAGAATATTTTTTCAAGGCCTATACAGAAGGCGTGGATTTTTTAAAGAATATTTTTTCAAGGCCTATACAGAAGGCGTGGATTTTTTAAAGAATATTTTTTCAAGGCCTATACAGAAGGCGTGGATTTTTTAAAGAATATTTTTTCAAGGCCTATACAGAAGGCGTGGATTTTTTAAAGAATATTTTTTCAAGGCCTATACAGAAGGCGTGGATTTTTTAACGAATATTTTTTCAATGCTCTATACAAGGCGTGGATTTTTTAAAGAATATTTTTTCAAGGCTCTATATAAGGCGTGGATTTTTTAAAGAATATTTTTTCAAGGCCTATACAGAAGGCGTGGATTTTTTAAAGAATATTTTTTTAAGGCCTATACAGAAGGCGTGGATTCTTTAAAGAATATTTTTTCAAGGCCTATACAGAAGGCGCGGATTTTTTAAAGAATATTTTTTCAAGGCCTATACAGGAGGCGTGGATTTTTTAAAGAATATTTTTTTAAGGCCTAGACAGAAGGCGTGGATTTTTTAAAGAATATTTTTCAAGGCCTATACCGAAGGCGTGGATTTTTTAAAGAATATTTTTCAAGTCCTATATAAGACATGGATTATTTAAAGAATTATTTTTTCAAGCCCTATACAACGCATGGGTTCTTTAAATAATATTTTTCCCAGGTCTAACGAGGCGAACTTTTTATTTTTGAGGTTTAAGACAAACTTACAGTTATTAAAAAATATTTTTAGATGGACTTGAGGGCTGCTTTCTTCATGTGAGTGCAGTAGTGCATATACATGTTGCCGCAACGTATACGCATTGAAATAAGTAAATATTAACCAGTAAGGAAAGTTGTAAAGTCGGACGGGGCCGACTATATGATACGCTTCACCACTTTCGGTATATCCAACAAATGAAACCTAAAAGACATCGAATTTTTAAAGGACCAGGGACAAAATTAAGGAAATAGAAAGATATCTAGGGACTTTGGTACACCTTTTACATTAAATCGGACGAAAATATATATGGGAGCTATATCTAAATCTAAACCGATTTTCACGAAACTTAACACACATCATTCTAGATTTAATTCAGTACGCTATGCCAAATTTCGTGCAAATCGAAATATATATAGGAACTTTGGTACACCATTTACCTTAAATCGGACGAAGATATATATATATATATGGGAGCTATATCTAAATCTGAACCGATTTTCACGAAACTTGGCACACATCATTCTAGACTTAATTCAATACGCTATGCCAAATTTCGTGCAAATCGAAAGATATACAGGGACTTTGGTGCACCATTAAATCGGACAAAAATATATATGGGAGCTGTATCTAAATCTGACCCGATTTTCACGAAACTTTACACACATCATTCTAAACTTAATTCACTACGCTGTGCCAAAATTCGTGCAAATCAAAAGATTTCCAGGGACTTAAGTATACCATTTACATAAAATCGGACGAAAATATATATGGGAGCTATATATAAATCTGGACCGATTTTCACGAAACTTAACACACATCATTTTAGAGGTAATTCATTACTCTATGCCAAATTTCGTGCAAATCGAAAGATATATAGGGACTTTGGTATACCATTTACATAAAATCGGACGAAAATATATATGGGAGCTATATATAAATCTGGACCGATTTTCAGGAAACTTAACACACATCATTCTAGACCTAATTCAGTACGCTGTGCCATATTTCGTGCAAATCGAAAGGTATATGGGGACTTTGGAACACCACATACTTTAACTCGGACGAAAATATATATGGAAGCTATATCTAAACCTTAATCGATTTTTCTCAATTTCAGTAGGGTTCGTCCTTAGGTCAAACAAAAGAGCTGTGCCAAATTTCATCCAATTCGGGTCATAAATGCGACCTGTACTTTGTTCACAATTTAACATGGACAGACAGACATGCATAGATCGTCTTAAAAAGTGATTCTATGCATATTCTCAAAAGGAACCATGTGTCTATCTCGTTTCATTTTGCCGTTACAAACATATGCACAAAGACATAATACCATGTACCACAGAGTGGTGAAGGGTATCAAAAGGGAGTTATTAATAATTTTTGGTAGGGAGATTTGTTACCAAATACTTCTACAAAATACCAAATTGCATCGAATTCGGTTGAAAAACGCGCTCAAGAACCCCAAAATACCAACAAATTGGGGGTACTCGTATATGGGGGCTACCCGAAAAAATTGTCCCATATTCATAATTTTTTGTGGAAAGATTTGGAATCTATTAAGAACTCAAAATACTAAATTACTACCAATTCGGTGGGAAAATACGACCAAAACCCCCAAAATACTGAAAATTAGGAGGTACCGTTATATGGGGGCTACCAGAAAAAGTGGACCTATATTTATAATTTTTTGTGGAGACATTTAGTACCCAATAATAACCCAATGTACCAAATTTCAGCGAATTCGGTTGAAAAACGCGCTCAAGAACCCCAAAATATCGAAAATGGGGGGTACCCTTATATGGGAGCTATGCCTAAACGTGGACCGATATATCCCTTCTTCTAACTTGACCTGCCTGCGGACAAAAGACAACCCTTTGGAAAATTTCAGCAAACAATCGCAATTCCTTCAGAAGAATGACAAAATTAATATAACCTCCATACTATGGTGGAGGGTATAAAAACAATTGAGGACTGCACCTAGCATGAATACATACTCTCTGACTAACTATCCCATAAATATAATATTTTTCTTGAACGCATGATTTTGTTATAATTTTTTTTCCACATCATTAGCTTCGTATTTTCCCCAGCTTACAAAATCATTTGAATAAAACAAGCTCAACTTACTAAACTATCCCATAACGATTAACTTAAATTTATACAATAAGAAAGAAAAGAAATATATTTTATTTTTATTACAACACACAAAAGGGGATATTACAAAGAAATAAACTAAAACGTAAACCAAAGTAGAAGAGACTAAAGCATACTAAACGAAAGCAGAACAATTACAATTCATAGAAATACACAGAAAAAAGAAATGTAATTCTGTCATACAAAACTCATCAAATTCTATTACGGGCTAATAAGAATAAAGGACTTAATTTCAGTATTTCTTTATTATTTTATGACAAGGAAGGAAGATATAAAAAAGAGGAAGATGAAGAAGGAGAAGAAGTAGGAACATCAGAGACAGTAGTCTTATTATACACTCACTCACAATCACCCTGCCGGCTTACATCTTTAATGTCTGAATCAGAGACTTACAACAACAATAATAATAACAAGAATAACAACAACAGCAACAACAATGACAACCTTTATAACCTCAGTAAAAATCTGTGTGTTCTGTTAGTCTGTCAAGAGTTTTGATTTTCTTTCATTTGACTACCAGAGAATGTAACGACAAGATGAGAATGTCAACATCTTTGAAGACAAGT